ACCACATATTGAAACAGATGACAAAACTGGAGGAAGCAGACCATTAAATGTTAACTATTACACTACAGAGATAAGATCAAGCAAAGGCTGACAACACTTCAACCACTGTTTTCATTTATTAAAAACTGTGGGGAATCTGCAAAGTGTTATGTTTTTTTTTGTAGGCCTTTAAAGTTTGCAATTATGCTTTGCACTAATAAATAATTAAAGAAGTACAGTACAGCTTCAATAGTCTGCCCCAGTTTGATACAAAACTTAGGAGCTGAAGTTGCACTGTCTTAGGAGAGACCTAGTCCATTCTAAAACACTCATTATTAAGATTCCCCAGGTGATGTTGTATTTTACAGACATGCCTTTTAACGCTTTGTTTGACAGGTATTACAGCAATAAGAATAATTGCAAAGGAGAGAGGGGGGTTTGATATCTCTGATTCCAAAGTGTTTTCTCCAAAGGACTCAGCTCTACCGCTAAACTGTGAAGTGAACTGAAGATGGAAATTTACAGGCTTTGTTTCTTCCATTCAGAAATACCAGCTGGATAAATTCTTAATGTCTTGTAAAAACAAAGTAGCAAACATTTTTAGAACCCCACTGTATGCCTGCACAGCATCCAGCTTCTTTGTGAGCGCTCCACTAAAGGGAGTTCAAAATGTCTTATTTCTCCATCATTCTCTCCGATTAAGGTTAAAAAAAAGAACAGATGCGAGCTGTCTGACAGTGCCCATTTTTGGGATGGCCTGGGTGAACTAGAACTGGCAAACTGAAAGGGGCTGGCAGGAGACAGAGTGACCATCTGTACAGCCCACTTTCCCTTCAAGAGCAGAACCAGAGCAAAACTGCTGGATAAATCTAGTATGTGACTCAGTTTCATCACACCTGGAACCAGCCAGCAGTTCATCACGAAGTAGCTTTCATTTAGAAAATGTTATAAGCTGTACTTCAATCGGTTCTACTACGGGAATTTTAAGTGACAACAGTTTACTGTTCATGTAAAGTATAGCCTTTAAGGACTGGTGCCCTTCTACCGATGGGAGTAGAGTTGCTCTGCTTCCAGGCTCTGTGACCAGGATTGTTGCTCATCTAAAGCTGTGCCAGGTCCCTAGCCAACAGGACTGATTCTGGAGGGGGAATACTCCCCTGAGACATCACAGTCTTATGTGGACCACCCATTTCTGATGTTCTCCAAGCTAACTCATTCTGACAAGGGCTTCCTCTGGCAAGGGAAGGATCTGCCTTGTGGCAAGATCAGCAGATGGGAGTTTAGCAGTACAGGATTAGAATTTAGATACTTCCAAAAAAAAAGAGACAGGTGTCAGCAGTACAACAGTTCAGATCTCTCTGCCCTCCAGTATTTCAGTTCTGAAAGCTGTTAAAGCCAGTTTAAGATTAAAACACCTCTCCTTGATGGTTCATGCCTCAAGCCTGTAACACCCTAAAATCTGCAGCTGTAACAAATGAAATTTTACTTCCAAAATGCATGGGAGCTCAGCATAATGGCACTGCAGACAGTAAGCAACAGTCTACCACATACAGTAGCACAGCTCACAGGCGTGTGTGCAATGAGAGAACTTATCGCTTCTGCCGATAGTGAAGGGGAATTAATTTTATCACCAGATCTCGTTTTAGAAATAAAAGTGTTAACCTCTATTTCACAACCCCCTCCTGCCTGTCAGCTACTTTAGTGTCAGTCTAATTCTGGTTCTGCTTGCAATGGTAGTAGCTCCTCTCTAACAACGCTCGTAACTCGCTGCTTCTTTTTTTCCTTCATCTCCGCAGGATAATTCTTTCTACTTTTCAATTAAGACGCAGAGTCTACCCCCTGTGTGAGCAGTACATTATCGGAAGTGTGTGGGAAGATGAGAGGGAGTGGGAGGTCTGGAAATAGCATACGACAATGCATCTACAACAGGGTGCTATACATAGATTTTAAGAAATTCTCATGGGATTTCTGAATTTGTAGATTTTTTTATGGGCAGCAATTTGTTTCGGATTGTTGTTGTCTGTTGGACTTGGGTACTGACAATCCCATCGATAACTATGAGAAGAATATTTTTAACTTATTTAGAATTGTTGTAGGGTTGTAGGCGTGGAGTGAAATACCGTGGAACTAACAGGGGTCAAATTGCTCCTAATGGAGCCGATGGAGAGTGCCTCAAGAAGAACAGTGAAATATTTGAATGCTCCAACTGCTTAACTTTAAGACAGAAAGAAGAGCTTCTTTTGCTTTTAATGAGCGCACACCAGCTGTACACATGCTGCAAAAAGCAATAAAGCCGACGGTTTTTCAGACGCAGTGTGTGTGTGTGTGTAATGGCGAGAAGGTCATTGTCTCTCCATGTGCCTCTTTATGCATGTGATGAGGGACATCAAACAGTTCCACATCACATGGCTAGCAAGTGTCTGACACTGAGTGACTCTGACAAGGGAAGTGCGATGTGAGTGACAAGCAAAAAAAAAACAACTTTGTGTCCACCCCTCCACCTCCCACCCCATCTGAGAAGAACACAGCAAGGTGAACCTGAAAAGCTCACAATTAGAACCAGTAAAACATTCCTTTGAGAGGTAAAGTGGGAGGACGACTGGGGTATGAAGCAGGAAATAGCTGCACCCCACTCCAACGCTGTTAGGTGATGAGCTGTCAAGGCAGGAATCCAAGCTCTGCAACCCCAGTGCTGAAAGCACCAAGCTCCTCCATAGCCACTCAGTCATGTGAGTTACTGTACCTGCCTCTCGGCTCGGCCTGCAAGAGCCTCAGACAATCATTCTTCACCCACTAAAGAACCAAGGAAAAACTGCGGAAGACCTCCCCGGTGACTGGCAGCTACTTTTGCTTCAGAAAATGAAGTTGTTTCGAAGCGAGAGCCTGACCTTTCCCACCAGCAAACGACGCGAGAGATGCGATACGGAGGTGGTCGGCTCGGGAGCCTCTGTTGCTGCCTTGCTGTTGTTTTACTAAGGCGAGAAAAGCAGCTTCTGAGACCAGAAAAAAAAAGGTTACACACGGAAGCCGACAAAAGAAAGTGCGCACAAAGCCTTCGGGTTAATTCTTTAAACCGTCGCGAGCTCTTAGAAGTCGATATTCGTGTTTATTTTCCAATTATTTCTGGTGGTATACACGCACAATTAATGGCGAGTAAAGTAGAACACAAATCTGAAAGGGCATCAAGATTAAACTAGGAGGCTAAAGATACCGTACAAAGGAATCCTGCAATAGCAGAAAGCTAGTGGCTGAAACGTATCTGAAGCACTGACGCTAATGGTTGATTTTAATATCTAAGTCAATGTGAGAGGGTTACATATGGAGTCTGGACCCCTAGGATACATTGAAAGAATTACACAGTACAGCACAAACAGGTTCAGCTACCCAATGGCGCTGCATAAAAAGACCAGCTGAAGACAAAGAAACCACAGTACAGTATGTGCCGCTGAAAAGCCTTGGGCTCACAGATTGAAGTCCGCATCCTCTCTGGAGGATTTTCATTCAAAGTGCAGGAGAGTATTACTTCATGGAGGCACATGAGCACTGTATCTTAACTCTGCCTCCCGTGCGAGAGAGTCCTTTTCTTAACCTGCATTCCTAGTCCGCCACGTCTTTTTAGAACACCCCGATTAATCAGTAAGCTAGGCTGTCAGTCGGAGCCCATGTGAAATGTATGTTCCACTTCAGGCACCCTGTGGAAGGCAGGCACATCTTAATAAGACTGTCAGGATGCATGTGATGTTTGGTGTGAAATCACATTTTCTTAGCGTTCCACTGAAAGGCAGAGTGAGTCATCACTAAACATTTAATTATACCTGTGATTCAGTCACAGTCTTGAAGGACTCAAGTTCCGCATACTTAAGTGAAACTACAATTTACTTTGGAAAATAGCAGAACACTACATGTTTAATCCCTTACAAACGGCCACATACTTAGGAAGAACACTTGGTTTATTACACATTGCATTCCCGAAAACAACTATCGCTCTCTGTTGTTCAAGTTAAAGCTCAGAGTGGACCGAATCTAAAATTGGGACAGTAAGGATTTCAGCAGGGAAATTATTTTGAAATCAATCCGTTTATTACCAATAAAACAACAAGTTATAAACATGGTGGCAATTTTTTATTTCAAAGATGAAAGGACTTTTTCTTTTGCTACCTGGTCAATGACACAGAATACAGTTCTCAACATGTTAACACGGACACTAGAAACCGCATGTGGTAACGCACTGCAATACTGCCAATGGACAGCCACCAGGTTTCTTAATTTGACAAAAGAACCAACAGCTGGTAACACCCAATGAGTGAGCATGTTTTAAGATATTTTTTTTCCATTTTTCTTTACTGTGCTCGAGTTAGATGCTCGCATTTCCTCTTTTCAAACGCGCACGCAGAAATGTATTTTTTTTGAATAGTCTCGCTATTTCCCCTCTGAATCATTGCCCCTACTCTATTCCCCATCTCTCGTTTTTGTCTTCTGTGAACAAGAGGACTGTTACAAGCGCCGATGCGGCGTATCATACTCAGAGCATAGATCATTTAAATTCGTCTGATGTTGGTTTATGGGGGTGGTTTATTGTTTGTTATCATTATATTTCACACATTGTAATATTCAGAAAGAAAATAAAAAAACATACACGCTTAAACCTGACACTTAACCATATACAAACTCAACACCCAGGTTCCGATTTGCTTTCAGTGAAAAAGTAGAGCTTACTGGTTCACTTTTTCGCTTCACTTGCACAAATGAGCATCGGTCTCGGCTGAGTGAAAGCTGCGTCCTATAACGCTTCCATTATTCCTTGTGCCTTAAGGTGAGCCAGCGTTTAGCTATAACCTACATAACGCACGCAGTATCCAAAGTTTGGCAGCAGTGGTATCGATATTCAGACTGCCAGCGCATTGTTTTGTGTGCGATGTGGGGGAAACATTCCGCTTGTGCTCTACTGGGCAATAACTCCTCAGCGTACTGCTGCTTTCTTGGCGAGTGTTTAAAAGTGCATCCCCGGACCGGCGACTCACGTGTGTCCACAGCTGGCGATGCTGACAGGTCTGTGGTAGACCTCCAGGCAGATGGGGCAGGAGAATTGGGTCTCCAGACTGTCCCCGGGGGCGGCCGCCGCTGCTCCGCTCTGCTGCTGCTGCTGGGGATGCTGTCTGTGCTGGGTCGCCGACACAAAATTGCGGAACATCGCCATCATGAACTCGGATCTCAGACTGCTCTTCTCTTTCGACGTACGTGCGTGTGTGTGTGCAAGCGGGGCGTTTTTTGGGGGGTAAACATTACACACGGCATCAACCCAGCGACACAAATGGTGGCGTTACACACATGCCGGACGACAAAGAGGTAAACATTACAAGATAAAACAAAACCCTATTACAGTCCCTGCTAACCGCCAGTGTTTCTGGGTGTTGGTGTTCTTTCAGACGCTTACAGTGGAAGAAATAGGGACATTTAAACTACAATTCCCATAAGCCAATATTCCCCTATAATATAAAGCCTCGGTAGTGGGCGCTGTTCTAATATTTTAAGCACAAACTCCAGAAACGTGAAATGCATTTTTAGCAGTGTCCTTATGGATTTTTAAATCTTAGTAACAATGGACTGGTGGTGCTGTTGACACGATTCTGATTTGCCTTCCTTACCTTATAACAAAATTTGAGTTTTGGACGGCTCTGACACTAAACTTCTTGTCGGTACGTCATCAAAAAGAGCGAGGCTGCACACAGCTGATACCCACATCCTCGCTGCAGTCCCTTGGATAGTGAAGTATGTCAACAGCGTTGAACAGGGAAAGTGATATATCATTAGTTGGCTGTAATATACCTGAAACGATTAACTTGTAAAATAAATACTTTTACGTAAAATAATACGCCGATCTGACAAGGCAGTCACGTGTATTTTACAGACACACAGTGTAATATTCGCTGCCCAGAACGAGCCATGTGTCAGATCCACGAGGAATATCAGGACCATATGGTGGAAAACACAAGTATTCCCAGGTAAGCGTGATACACGAAGTGCATAATTCTTACCATTTCCCCATCTTTTATTACGGCTTTCAAACCCTTCTTCCCGAAGGAGACCTTTTCCCAAAAACCTCTTCTTCAAAACAAACGTGAGGGAGACTCAGAGAGTGTTTTCCATTCCAGTATTTCTCAGAAGTGCGTGAAATGCAAAGAAGGCTCGGCAGTGCTGGTTATCCGTGTTGGAGACGCCTTTTGCAGGTAACACAAGTTACAAGTTCTCTGCAGCATTCAGCTACGACAGTACACGGGGGGGTGCACGACTTCAGGAAAAATATCAACCTTTAGATTTACAAGCTGTGCTGTAACAATTTTATTGTAAACTTAAAAATAATATTTTTAAGAAACTGCAGGGGATCCGAGTACGTAAAAGGTAAACAATTTGCATAGCCAGAGCTACTGTAATGTTAAATAAAGGATCAGACGACATTTCACGTGTGCACCAAGTGAGTTAAATTACAAATCTGTGGAATCGTTCATAAAGTTTTAAGGATGTGCTAAAACGTTTGTAAACTTTTATGTGTCTCCCCTGTTATATTAGGATGGCTTGGTAAGATTTCTTGTGACTAAAGAATTAGACTTTTTTTCAGTTTAAAAATGGAATGTTTTTGAAAATTATATAGAATTGTCCATGCTGAACTTTACCCTATCCTTTACCAATCATGGCCTCGTAATGAACTGTTCTCCTCACTGATAGCTGGTGGGTGGTGAGTGTACTGGTGCAATTTTGTTGCTGTCCAGGTGGGGGCTACACACTAGTGGTGGAGGGGAGTCCCCATTACCTGCTTTGAGTGGACTGTCCAGATAAGTGTGACATAAATATAAGGATTTATTATTTTAATTCAGGGGCTGCTTTAAGGAGTACTTTGTACATAAATTTCGTGCCATGCTGGGGAAAACCCGTCTAATCTTTCCTGGGGAGAAGGTGAGTTAACAATGAGCGTTTTCTTTTTCCCTATTTTTTTTTCCATTCCATTTACCAATTGTCAGTAACTCTTGTGTTCATGTCCAGGTTCTTCTGGCCTTGTCAGGTGGTCCTGCTTCAAGTTCCATGCTTTCCCAGGTCCAGGAGGTAGTATAATAATTTCTGTTCCCGAATGCTTTGGAGCAATGTTCTGAAACAAGTCTCTTGATTTTACACTAGAGCAATTATGAAACGGTTGATTATTTTGATCTTTTAATTAAGCTATTCATCGATACATCGACCATCAAGTGTGACTTGGAAATGCTCTTGATGTGCAGTTTGCTTAACATTCTTCACAACTATTTTTAAAGTAGTTTCTTCCGAGTTTCATTTCTGCCACTAATGCGTAGCAGAAGTGAGATGATTACTTTTGTCTTGACTTTCAGCAGGGGTGATCCCAGGCTCATGCTGTTGCAAGTACTGTCTTATAATGGTGGTGTTATTAGTACTAATATTAGTAACTTTTAACCTCAGAAATGATCTAAATAAGCAAAGTGATTAATTGGTATTACCTGATACCTTAATTAACTAGTTCAAAGTTATCCTTTTTTATCCTCTGTAAGTTATCCTCTGTATTTTAAAGTCACTCTATTACCTTGGAAATGATTTTTTAAATAGAACAAATAATAGTGCTGATAATATTGTAAGTTGTTTTTTTTAATGCAATGTATAAAACCAGTAGTCTTTGATTTTTCTTTTTGTTTCAGGGTTTGAGCCGTGAAGCTCCAAAGAAATTAAGATTTATACCGGGAATAGTCTACATTGATGGTAATAAACTAATCTTTTTTAAATAATGTTCTGTTTTACAGTATATACAGATCCATTACTTTATATTGCACATGAAAGACTGTATTTCATTTTTAGTTGGTGTTTATGAGTGCTGTTTGTACTTAAAACTGGAAGCTGTTTATTTTTTTGCCATAACATCTACACTTTGAGGTTAATGAGCTAAGTGGTGTAGAAATCGGGGACCAGTACAACCTACAGCCATTAAGTGCTGCACCAGGATAGGGTAATGATGACTTTCTCTGCTTATTCTGCTAGTGAATGTTGCAGATTATGAACTGGAACTGCAACTGAACTGATTTTAACCAAGGGTTCTAAAGATGAATGGTTCTGCCTTCGTTTCCCCCATGACTAGACAGTTCCCTGGTTTCTGTTTAGTTTTGTAATGTGTTTTATAGAAGGGTCTGCCTGTGGTCAGAGCCTAGAAGAGCGAGCAGGAAGAATAGCCCAGATGGAGTCTATATTCCAAGCCACAGGATTCCCTTTCTACGTTGTTCACCTGGAGGAAGTAAGTAGTGTACTGCTTCTTCAGTGTGTTCAGTCTTGAGTGGTCTGTGCTGCACTGTCATGAAATGATCCATTTCGGTTGGCATGGTTGTGTGTTATTCTTTCAGAGTAGCATAGTTTTTCAGCCAATAATCACTCCATTGCCATACTCCAGATTTCCCTAAGGAACACTCTTACATGACTGCTTGGCTCAAAGCTTTTGTTATTGCAATATTTAATCCAGTCGTTCACAGCTGATCCATACTCTCTGAGCATGTTGTTCAATACTGCATTTTTTTTCCATTGGTTGTTTCATTTACCAGGTCTTCCGCCTGCCCAGTTCAGTTCTGCAGTGCGTCTCCTCAATCCCAGGCAAGCCGGGGGGGTCTTATAAAGCTGCTGTAGACCAGTTCATCCAGCTCAGTACAAACACCCAGACAGAGAAGAGCAATGCCTTTGCATCCCAGGACTCCCAGCTGTTCGAAGCCCAATCCAGGCTTTCTGAGCTCTCTACCCAGGACAGGCCTGAGGAAGAGGTTCGAACATCCGGTGGGAGACCCTTCACCTTCACGCTACAGGAAACCAAGGCTGTGGAGAGACTGCTGGACTCTGTAAAAACTCTGACGGCTAAAGAGCAGATACTGCAGATGCTGAGGTGAGATCACAAAGACATAACTCCAGAGCTTGGAATTTCTACATGTTAATAAAAACAGCCTTTCATCTTGCATGCTTAACTCATCATCCTCTCACCATTTTTTAAAAATAAGAATAAATTCATTACACTTGTATTAGCACTTTTCTGGACACTCCACTCAAAGGGCTTTACCTTGATTGATAATGGTAGTGGTAATGGGGACTCCCCTCCACCACCACCAGTGTGCAGCCCCCGCCTTGATGATGTGACGGCAGCCATAGTGCGCCAGTACGCTCCCCACACACCAGCTCTCAGTGGGGAGGAGAACAGAGTGATGAAGCCAGTTCAGAGATGGGGATTATTAGGAGGCCATGATTGGTAAAGGACAATGGGAAATTTGGCCAGGATGCCGGTGTAACACCCCTACTCTTTTCAAGAAACACCCTGGGATTTTTAATGACCAGCACGAGCCAGGACCTTAGTTTGACATCCCAGCCGAAGGATGGAGCCTTTTTTACAGTATAGTATCTCTCTTGCAATACTGGGGCATTAGGACCCATACAGACCGCAGGGTGAGCGCCCCCCCCTACTGGCCTCACTAACACCTGTTCCAGCAGCAGTCTCAGCTTTCCCAGGAGTCTCCCATCCAGATACTGACCAGGCTCACATCTGCTGAGCTTCAGTGGGTTGCCAGTTGTGAGTTGATATGGCTGCTGGATTTAGCATTCTCTTTCAGGTGTGGTACCATGACTGTAATTGTGTTTCAAAATGTATTACACAGGACCAAGTAGGAATTGTGGAGTGTTTTGATGGGGCATATTGGGGTGGCAGGAGCTGCCTTGTCACAACACTCATAAAGATTGTCAACAAACAGGCTGAACATTTCCTCAAATTGCTGTTTTCAGGGACTGGAGCTTTGTTTGGTAAAAGTATTCATTAACCTGTCTGCCAAAGGTTATCATCAGCTGTGAATACTTTTTTAAAACCAGTCCATAGACATTTACACAATGTATGACCAATGGGCAAATACAACAATGGTGCACTTCGTATCTGGACAGTGCTGGAGAAGAAGACATGATAAGGCTTTACTTGCTACTGTAGGAATTTAGTTTCAGCAGCTGACATGCTTTTGATCTCTGGCGTGACCGAGATTATCTGCTTTCTTTCCCATTAGGCACCATCTGATTGTGCACACAGCCCGGGTTAAGGGTTACTCTAAGGTGATGATGGGAGACAGTTGCTCTCGCCTGGCAGTGAAGCTCCTTAGTAACATCTCCCTGGGCCGGGGCGCCTCTCTGGCAATGGACACGGTGAGGACAGGATCGTGTATGGGTGCAATGTTACGTTTGAAAAGAAGTGCTCTGTCAACCAAAACTATTCATGTAAAGTAAACCGTCAGTGTTTGACTGCATATTAAAGCACCAAAGGTCCACCACCTTAGAACTGGAAGAAAAAAAGATCTAATCTAATACAAAAAAGAAATGTGTAATTTTTAAAGAAATATTCAAATATGAAATCACACTATGGTTGGGATACTGTAATTAGCAGAGTGCCTCTGGGACCACTGTGTTCTTCCTAATGTATGTCAAAGATCTAGATTCTGATACAGGTATTAAACTTGTGAAATTCATCAATGATACTCCCCAAAATAGTAGAATTGGCAAACACTGTAGATTCTGAATGGGAAATATGGAAATATTTAGAAGTGAAGACCCACAGATGACGTTTAACGCAGCTATATGCAGAGAATTCCATACGGGAAGCATAAACTATAAGTATCAAATGTGGAGTGGGAAATGAGCTTGAAGATTTTTTCAGAGACTCGGACTCGAAGAGCTGCCCTACTTTGACAGTCCATGGGAACCTTTATGGCTTTGAGGAGAGACTATGAACTTGTTCATGTATACAGAATCCTCAAAGCTCTTGACAAATTATCAACGTTTTCACAATTAATAGTGAAATACAAACCAGAGGACACAAACCAAGGAAACCAAGAGGAACAGTATTTAAAGCATAGAACAGAAGGCACCTATTTGCACATTGGGTTGTGGGAGTATGGAGCACACTACACAGCCATGTTGTAGAGACCAATACCCTGGGGTCTTTCAAGAAACAGTTGCATGAGATTTTCCAAGCTAGCACACCAGCTAAATGGCATTCTCCAGTTTACAAACTTTATGTTGTCTTAATGGAAGTTTCGTTGTGTGCTTTAGACATGTTTGTGGCAGAAACTGGTTGATGGTTCTCAAATCTTAAAGGCTTTGTTCTGTGCTGCAATTTGAAGGGTTTCTCTGATCCCCGATACGGAGATATTACCATCATCAGGCCCATGAGGGAGTACTCCTCCAAGGAAATTGCTTTCTATAATAAGATGTTTGGGGTTTCGTCCGTTTTCATTCCAAACCTCGGCACGAAGGTAAGAGCTAGAGATCACCTGTGAAGTGGGCTTGTTGCACTTGATATCGTTGCTTGTTAGTTTAGATGTTCAGACACGTACAAGCGAGAGAAATTCAAAACAATTCTGAACAGAAGAGATTCTGTATTAATTATGTACTGTATATCAGCATTATTCCATGCAAAAAAAATAGACTATTCTTCAAATAAGCTGAGCAGATTCACCACTAACATTTATATACAATATCCTGTATGAGCAGAGCCGTAAGATGACCTGAAATAAATATCGGAGGGATAATATAGACTGGAAAATGTAATTGAAAACTTTCTCAGACATATGCCCACCAATATTATTTTGATTAACTTGGGAAATGAATTTGTATAACTTGCTTGTTTGGAAAAGACTGAAGTAAAGGATTACAATTTAAGCAACTGTTCAATTTAAACAACAGGTTCTATTTGTTTTACAATTCAGCTGCATTTTTTAATGAGTGGTTGTTTCACAATTTAAGTGCTATAACGTCAAATAGAGCTTATTCCTTTGCTTTGAACATGACTTGCCTTGTCGGTGCTTGGAATATTGGTCCATGGCCTTGGGCTTCACTAAACACTCCCAGATACTCTCGGTTCATGGGAACAAAACAACAAATCAATCAAGTGGCTATTCTAACAATGTGTGTATTTAATCATTCCCCGTGGCATTTATCACAAGAATGAGTAATTTTCCTGAAGCTGTGTATTTCCTGGGCTTGGACAAAATTTGTGGGCCAGTATACAAACAAGTTTAACAACTTCTTTTGCATGTGGAAGTTTCTGGCAGGTTCTGCTCTGTAATGTTTTCACACAATGTTTTCACACATCCCTTCCTGATTCTCTTTAAACTCTGTACTCCACTTAATCTTTACGTGGGATGTTTTTTTATTGCTTGTTCCAGAGCTGGCCTAAAATGGGAGACTACAGAGCTGATACCTTTGTCTTCAGTGGACTCAGGCCAGATCGTCCTGTGCTAATCTGCTCTTAATCTAGGAAAGAGTGACGCTCTGTGTACTCTTCCTCTGCCGCAAGCTCCGATGTGTTTGGTTCAAGCCTTAAACTATGTATAATGTGCTCTGTACAGAGAACCTGATACTTAGAGCGAAAAGCTATCAGACATCACACAGTGAACGTCAAAGATAAAAGGTTTTCTTGATTCTTTGTATCAAGATTCTTTGTAAATTTGAAAATGGGTTCCTTGTGAAGTGCGATCTAGAAGTATTTTGATGCCTTTAGTTAAAAGCCACAACAATTCTATTCTGTAAGGCATTCCTTATGTGAAAAAAAAAAATTCTGGTCATCTAAGTAACTTCTATGCGTGCTTGTCTTTTGGAGGATCTGCAGCACTCGTGAACTTTATAAACCGTGTTTCTGTAGACACATGCTGACTGGTAAGTTGAGAGACTGTGACTTTGTTTCAGTCTGATTCTGATGTCATAAGGATCCTATTCCAGATCCCCCCCGCAAATAACTGCTGTTTCCTGCCAGGATGAAATTAGATTCTTTTAGTTTAAAAGCTGTTCTGACTCTCTGCGGTTACTGTTTTCTCAGGCACCTGAAAAGGCCAGTATTCAGCGCCTGACTGAGAGCTTTGTCAATAAACTTCAGATGGACTTCCCCTCCACAATAAGCACTATTTACAGGTGATTTCCGAGAAGTCAGCTTTCCACACATATTTAGGTGCCATTACACACTTGCGTACCAGTGAAAAACAGAAGGACAGTATGATGCTTTGGGTAATATAAATGAGATTGACTTCTGAGACTATGTACTCCATCTTTAGGCCAGCGCTAGGTGTGTAGTAGACTGGAAGTGTTGAATGTTGTAGGATTTTTCCCGTTTAATTTTCATGACCTTCTCTGAGATGTAAAAGTGAGATGTCTGTAAACTCTTCTGTGTCAGTTTTCCTGTTCAGGAGTGTTTGGGACATCTGAATTGGCACATAGCACATTTGCGGTGTTTTTCAGGACCAGTGAGAAGCTGAACACTGCCTGCCCACAACTGAGCAGCGACCAAGAGCAGGCTGAGAGGTGCCTGCTGTGCCTGTGTGCTCTGGACACTGGAGCAGGTAGGGATCAGGACCCCTGCTGATGAAAATGTTAGAATAAAGCAGGTTCCAGTGACTCCAGGAAATTGTTTTCCAAAGCAAAGGACAGTGCAACTAAGGTGCATATCTTGTAATGCTGGATTTCCACATCTGAAAGTTCAATTCAAGTTTATTATTACACATACTGCAATGGACACTAGATCGTATTGTGTCAGCAAACATGGGGAGTTGCGTCACTGCAAAAAAACTGACCAGAACTAGAATGTACATGGTTCATTAAAATAATTGTATAAATATAAAGTACATTCCTCTTTCCGTACTGGAACAGAATCTTTCTAGTTGAAAACTGTGAATTCATGGTCGTAAGCCCAGTGGCAAGCTGACGTGTTGAGAACCAGTGATATCATGTCGCTCTGCAGCGGAGGCCTCTGCCTTTCGTGCCACCTTGGTCTCGGAGCAGCTGTCGCAGAAGAGCTGCCCTGAGCCTCCGCCGGGGCTCTCGGCTCCCGGACTGCAGCGCCGCCCTGCAGGAGACGAGCGGACTGACTGCTGCGGGTCTGGAGGAGGGAGCCGCTGCTCTGCGGACGAGTAGGTCTAGGGCAACTAGTTGCATGTTCTTGGTTATTCATTTTCAGGCACTGGTCAGGTTCTGGGAGACTAGATGGCCACTAGAAGAGCACTAACAAGGTTCAAGGACAAGCCGTCTAAGTCATTATTTAAAATCCTGCTGTTAACTCTATATCTCTTCTGCCCCTTCTCTTAAGAAATTGTACAGTATAGGTCGTTGACTGTATAGAGATTCTTTGAAGCCTGTATAGTGTTGCACGTTCCCATGTTTGTACCTGGCTGCCATATAACATGTTACTCTCCAGGGATGCCTCTTCTCCTGACCCTAGGAGCCTCCTGTGTTACAGCTGCAGACTGATCATCAAAGACATGGTGAGAATAAAAAAAAGTGTTTTAAAAGTGCGCAAAACAGGACTGGATTGTCTGAAGCAACTGTTTCCTTATTGCCTCCATGGGAATTGTGGGATTGAATTATTTTGTACTGAATAATACCCAGACCTTTCTGCTGTAATTAGAGGACCTCTTCTTGATTAGACATCCTCTTAAAATTATTTTTCTGTAGGAAATGTCTTTTTTTCCCCCACAAGAGGAGTTGGTAATGGCAAAAAAGTCTAATTCCCTAATATTTCTGTTCGCATTCAACAGACCTCGGTAGAGACACTTCCTCCATATATTGTGTTAGAAACTGAACACAGGAGGCGAAGGTGAGTGTATTCCTTGAAAACTAATAAAAAACAGTTTAATTATCTCGTGTTGTGAACTTCAAAGAGAAGTTTCATTTGATCCATACAGACAGCATTGCTTCTGTTTCTATCTATCTGTGTCTTCTGTTTCTATCATGAACTGGAATGTACAGTGGAAGGCTGAATTCTCCTCTTCGGTCCACATACTATAGGCTTGTCTAAGGCTGCTGCAGCTGTGTGTCAGATTATTCAGAATAGTGCACAAGAGAAATCTACTTTGAACCTCATTTTTATACAAGTTGTTTACATTGTGCCCAGAACAACAAATCAGAGTTTTATTTCCATCAATTAAAAGACATAATGTGTGTATATATACAGGAAATTGATGGTGTGTTGAATCTGAAAGGTGTGTGAAGTCGGTGTGAAGTGAAGTCGGTTTTACTCTTCAGGCAAACAGTGGGCAGAGAAACTCAAAATGGGGAGCAGTGAAGGGCAAAGCAGTGCAGTTCTTTCCCATTAAAATGTGTGCTGTGATGATAAAACATACTGGGGACATGCAGAAAGTAACCAGTAAGGTGCGGTTTTGCCTTCCTGTGTGTCTGACAGGGCTCAGATGAGAGAGGAGATCAGCGAGTTCCTTCTGGATCCTGCGCAGGAGTGAGAAGGCCTGAGGTTTTCCAGCAGGAGGACACCGCTGTATCAGCGCCATGTGTTCAGTTGTCTGCTCAGGCTCTGCGCTGCTTTAGAGAGCAGCTGACTCCATCGGAGAGACTCCTATACATGCTCAGGCACCCTCATGGGTTCAGTCCCTTCTTATGGTTGAATACACAACTCTAAATGATCAAATCAACCCAATGTTCAAGTGCAGGCTATATTCCTTTTAAATGTGAACTTGAACTTGCCTTTTAACATGTTTTTTAGAACTGCTTACCCTCCACCTCCCTTAATCTATCTGTCTGCTTTTTAGAAAGCCAAGGCTGATTTTTATGTTTTTTAACTCGGTTGTTAAAATCCCCATTCACAATTCTTTTTATCATCATTTTAAATGGTAGCACCGTGTTCCTGTTTGAATATCCCATGCATTTGTGTACTGTTTGCTCTGTTATTTTAACTATAACTGTATTAGAATGGTTCCTTTTCCAGACAGTTATAAACATTTTTTTAGTTTAAAGTACAGTAGATGACGTTAAGAATATGGCTTTGTTTTACTTTAAAGACGCTCTGCCATTTCACATCAATATAATCTTTATTGAATGGCAGTAGGGCAGTTTTGGTACCATTGTCATCACTACGTGACCATATAACCATCATTTTCTGTAAGGTTTAACTTAATTATGCAGACAGATGTTTTTTTTTTTATAAAGAAAAAACGTGTACTTTAAGATGTATAATAAATTGTTTTGCAGTGGTTGGGTTCAAATGAAAATGTACTTTAAGCAAGGTGACTGGTGAGTCAAGAAATTCTAAGAAGAATGATTTGAAAGTCAGAGCTAAAGATGAACAAGGTTTTTATTGATTAAAAAAACACATCGCCATTAAAAGAACCAAGTCATGACGATGAGAAAAAGTAGAATACCCTGAACTGTGGAACTGAAATTTGTCTATTAGGGTTTCACTTTTTCCCCATCATCAAAAAGAAGGTGCAGTTAAGAAAAAATAGCAATTTTATACAAAAGACCTCTTGATTATAATGAAAATATATTTAGAGATATGTATTTCATAAGGCAAGTGTCAAACCTTTTTATGACAGTTCAAAAATATTATACAAAAACATTAATTTGGAAACATTTTGGCACCAATAGTATGGTACTGTGCTTTTCTATAAAGCACTGGTTCTCAATGCTAAACCTGGAGTATCTGTGGCTGCTGGTTTTTGCTCTAAATCACGGGCTAATTTCTTTCAGTTTTTTTTTAATTTTGCTTTCAGCCCTTCAGCTACATGAGATTTGTAATGGTACGAACCATGTGCTAATGAGTTTTAAGGTCTGTGACCTGAAACATAAGCATAGCTTAAACTGATGAAAAACGCACCGTGGGAGGTGTCTAGTACACCACTGTTCCCACTGTGTTTGCTGACCGACTGATCACCTGTTAGTAAAAAATAAGGGAGCAATTCTTAATTAGAAAGTTGAGGAGAGACTGCAGTTCTGTGTGCTGCCGTAGTTGTAAAATATGTACTTGAGGTTGCACCTTATGGAGAAAAAAAAGTCTAAAATGCCAAGCAGATCATTTTAAGGCACTGTTGATTAAAGTCCCAGAGGGCACAAAAACCAGCAGACACAGGCAGACTCCAGGATCATGACTGAGAAACACTGCCATAAACTATTGCTTGGTAGCTTGTTTAAATTTAAATAAAACTATTCCAGCATGTAAACATCCAAGACGCACGCTTTTTCCCCATTTCAACACATTTCAGAGTTTGGTACAGTTTCCTTCTCCCTGATGATCATTTTGGTCTGCTAAAGGATAGAGTCTTTTGACAGTACTTGGTTTTTAACATAAAACTTGTTTAAAGTCATGAAAGGGTGATGACGACAGCTGGTCTTTCTATGCAATCTTGTGTAGAGGTTTTTAAGTGACAGTTTAGAATCAGCCTTAGAGTTCAAGTCTTTAAAATCTCTCCCTTGTCTCCATTCCGATGTATCCATTACTAAAACAGTTTGTTCTTTCCAACAGCTTTCATAGTCTTCTAAGCATGTTTGTAAACAGTTCAGTATAAGCTTTTTTAAGTCTTTTGACTTTAGTGTTAGAATAACAATTAGCTAAGATCCTGGTCTACGTTGTCTTTGGGGATCACAGTTTTCCCACCGAAAATGTCTTTATTTATCCATTCGGACTGGATGAATTGAGAAAAGCATACAAGTAAAGAAGAACCCAGTCTAAATCCTCCTGCTCTTCCCAGCTTTAGTTTCCTTGTCCTGTTTCCTGTCCGCTATGTCATCTGTCCTGCTGCCTTCTCATAACTCGCCCTTCATGAGAACACAGACGTCCACATTCTTGTGGTCTGAGGTAATTTCAACCCAGGTCCTAAAGGTCATATTTCAGAAAAGGAAACAAAAAAAACTTGGCTCAGCCACGAAGGAAAGCTCCATGCAGTCTCTGTATTAATGGGCTAGGGCTATCCCGTAGAAAAAGGTAAATACGCAACCATGAAACGTACTCTGCGATATCAGCCCATTAACACCAATTGCTTAGTGGCAGTCATTACAGTTGTATTTATAAAATTGAAAAGAAAATGGAAAAGTTTATGATCTCCAGCTGTCACAATTTCTTATTTCATGGCGAAGGGTTCCAGGATACATGGGTGAATAAGTCTCCTGCCTTCTGTTGTTACAGCTCAAGGCTTATTTGCAATGAGCAGTGAGTGTCAGAGCCCTGGTCATGAGAGTTACCAGTGAAAAACAGAAGGACAGTATGATGCTTTGGGTAATATAAATGAGATTGACTCATTTATGAGTGTGCAGGCTGTGGGTCTCCTAGTCTTTTTCCCGGGTCCACTTGATCATAGTCTCCGGTGAGCGGTACAGGAAGATGAGTTTGGAGTACAGCTCCTCCTCCAGCTCCAGCTCCCCGGTCTCGCGCACCAGGAAGATGTCCGTGCACAGCTTGAGGATGCGGTCCACGCAGGGCAGCTCCTCGAACATGATGGAGTGGGAGATCTCGCTGAAGAAGCCGCGCACAAACTTCCCGATCACCAGCACCACCGACACGTACAGCCCCATGATCCTGCAAACAGGAGGAGAAGTCAGCACCATCCACGGACAAGCCATTTAAAACTGCGGTGACAACGCATGCCCAGAAAGACGCAGCTGGAAGATCACCATGCTACAGGTTTCTACTAGTGAAGTCCTTAAATGGAGCGTAAAATAGTGGTAGAAATTTTAATACATTGCAAATGCAATGCACCTTGCAGAAGTTTTCACTCCCTTCTGATAATGGCACATTTGAAATAAGGTATGCATTAAAAAAAATAATTTTATTAAATATTATATTGAACAGAGGCATTTTTTGGTAGCAAAACTGGTAAGGGCAGGTAGAGCTCTCATCACCCAGGCATTGGGAGCTGGAGGCTGGGTCATGTCACTAGCGGACTGTGACTAGGATTCCTAGAGAGGTGGCACACAACTGGCTGGGTACAGCCATCAGTCAGCCAGAGCTCTCTAAGCTCTCGGCCACATAGACACTCACAGGCCCACTGGCCCATGGGCAAGGGATCTGCCACCCCTAAATTCGGCGCTGAAGCTCCTGCACGGGGCTACGGAGCCTGTGAGGTGAAACTGTAGTCTGACTGCACTTCTCCATTCTCCCTCGAGTGTCTGGGTGCATGGTTCCCAACCATGAGCCGAGACATGAAAAACTCAGAAGGGCAGTTCCAAATCAAGTGGGTATATAAAAAAATAACTGGTGATTCTACAGTCACAGCACTATTAAACGGAACACATCTATGTGAGGGGAAATGGATGTTAGCAAACTCTAAAAGAATATATACAAATTGAAATTTACTGATAGCTTAAATAATCAGCTTCCTAAGTACTAAATGGAAGCACCATTGCTGCTGTGCCATTTTTGTAGATAGGTTAAAATATACTTCTTATACATTTGAAGATCTTCTAATATTGTTAACATTCTAACATTTTTATCTTCAAGCATTTTTCATTTCTACTGTGTGCCAACAGTAGATTGGAAATATAAAGTCCTATCTGGAAGTATCACGATCGCAAACTCAGAGTGCAGGAGAATCTGGAAACTTTGCTGGGAGGCAAATACCTTTTAAGGCTCTGTCTGCATAAATGAAAAAAGAGCAAAAACCAGATAACCGTCCCAAGTGACTGCTGTGTGGGCAGTGAGAGCAGTGTCTCAGGAATACAAATGAGCCAATAATACAACAAAGAGGACTTCACCTTTTGAGCTGCAATGTTGGATTAGCTACTTGTGGTTTTATTTCTATGCATGCTTATTCAAATCAATGCACTTGGTTCTCCAGCTGGGGAAGCACTGCCAATGAAACATGAGGCTCATACCCATATCCGGCCAAGAAGCCCAGGCTGGGAGGGCTGACTTTGTCATTGAAAATGACCATGGGAAGGACTCCGCAGCTGTCCTGGGAAGAGCTGCAGTCTGCAATGTGAATATCCCACCACTCCAGCATCCCGCTGCCGTTGACCGAGTGGTCCTTCATCAGGGTCAGAGTCACATCCAGGTAGCTGTCCTCCTCATCTGCCACCGAAACAGGTTAGAAATGAGATCTGAGGTGAGTGTGCTGCATTCAAGAGAGTTTCTGATGTAAGAGTTTCTTCTTACATTACAGACTTAACACAACACACTACAGGGATTTGGTTAGGTCAGGTTAATACAACAACTCCTGGCTTTTCCAAAACTGGCGGACGGGTTGGAGACAGGGGTGAGGTATAGTAACCACTCTTACCTGGGTACAGCTGACTGACAGGTTTAGCTTCAGGTCCATTCGGCGCCCTGATATAATTTGGGAACATGTCATTCACATGCCTGTAAAACAAACAAACATTGCAAATATCGTGTACTGGCTGTGAGAAACTGATAGTTTTGCACATATTTTATTGTTTTTACAGTGACAATAGTCATCACATTTTGCACACACCTATGTATTTATTTTTTATGTATTTATTTTTATTTATTTTGTCATCTTTTGTTTTATAACTATTCTGATGTCTGTTTTTGCTCGTCTTGGGCTGGACTGCTGTAACATCAATTTCCCTACGGGATTAATAAAGTATTATCTATATAGTTTTATGGAACTCAACCCTTCAAACCTCTCTTTAGATTCGCATTAAGGATCTAGTACTGTAATCTGTTCTTATACTGGCAATGCATTTACAGAACCTTTCACAGTTTTTCAAGAAACAAATTATGCCTAATGTTAATTTTATGCATAATGTCAGCCTATTTGAGAAGTCATATTCTCTGATCAGCATTACTAATTAAATCGCCTGTAAGGGAAATGCTGTTACTGTAATTAGCATTCTGTGTATACTTTCACAGCAGTCATGTTCACCATGTCAATACTACAGTATGTACGCGTCTTTGTGACTGCAGGTTGCAAGGTTCGAGGTGCAGCCCTTCTCCTCTGTAGCGTACATTCTGGACAGGGCAGCAGGGGGAGATGTTTTGCGTGACTTACACGGGTTCAGAGCTGTTCCCTAGCAGCAGCGAAGCTAGGCCTGCTCGCACAGGATCGCCGGGCTTCAGGTCAATGGAGTGCTTGTCGAAGGTGTGCTCCACTGTGCCACCTTTCCCCAGGTCCCTGCAGAGACCCCGCAGAGGAACAGCATGAGGACCCACCACCCAACCATCCAGGAAACACATCTCTGCTCTTCTGTGGGGCTAAAAACCCACACACTTCCACAACCGAGACTAGCAAATTCTATTTTTTCCTTCCCATTTGCCATTTTTGTATTCTGGACCCATCACACTTGGAAGGGTGATGTGGCAATCACACTTGTGAGAAGGAAGAAGAGCAGAGGGACTTCTCTGACCTACCCTCCTTCAAGCCATTCATTGTTTTACACATCAAGGGGCTCTGCAGTCACTTACAGGAGACTCGGTACCAACTGACAGAGAGACAAGTCCTTTGGCTAACAGCTCCTGAAGGCTGCAGGTGAGCCAGAGAAGCCCTAGTCTGTAACCCTGCCCTTGGCTGCTCTGTCCCTGCGGAGCTGACTAGCATCATGACCCAGGCTGCGTCCTGTGACGTCTGGGGTCACAGTGCCTTGTCCAGCCGAGCCAGTCGGCAACCCCCAGACTGCACATTCTTAATCCTGTCCATTGAGATTGACACGCACAAAGGGCAGCGTGGGAAATATTCTTTCAATCAGTCGAAAAGCGTACATGTACATGCCTTAGAATGCCATTTTCCAATTGGAAGACAACTATCTCACAAGTGTAAAGAATTAACAACTGGCATGGAAGCTGGTTACTGTTGCCAATGAAGACAGACTGGAACAGCTGAAACAGGAGCTCCTAACGCGTTCATGTCCCTCCTAACACCCCTGCGGCCTGACCTCTGGAAATTCCACATGAAGCGCAGGGTCATGTCCACCGGGCTGCTCAGCAGTTCTTTAATGACCTCCTGGCGGCTGGGGGGGCTGATCCTCCACACAGAGCCCGAGCTCCCATCTATATTGGCAGTGACAATGTCCTCGTAGCTGTACAGAGTGATAAACTGCATCGCCACCTGCCATTGGGAGGAACAAAGAGGCTTTTAAACCTTGATTTAGGGAAGATTTGTTCTCGCAAAACAAAAAAAAAACTGATATTTTACTATTCAAAACTTGATTTGGAACAGTTTCAGTATCTCATGGCAACTACCATTGTGTGCTTATCTTGCCTAGGAAGAATTTTTTTTTTTTTTAATGATCTCCCTATTTTATATACTTGTAGTACTTTTAGAAAAGAACATTTTGGCCCTCAAAGTGGAATGATTCTCCATGAACACAAAATAAACATTTTGTTACAGTTCAGTATGTTTTGGGATAAGTGATTAAATAAAAATAACTAAATAAACCTGTTGCATAATTTGTGATTTGTTCTAAAAACTGACTAAAACCCTACTTCAGCCAGACTATCCTATCCAGGGCTTTGCGTAGCTGAGACTTGTGTGTACGTGAGAGTGCTCACCGGATTCTTGCCAAACTTCTCCGTTAGCTGGCTGTAGTTCGTTTCGGTGAAGGGCTGGATAGACTGCTGCTGCACACTCATGGTAAATAAGGGCTGAGGAGCAGACAAAAAACGGCATATCAGTGCTCGGTGATTTCTCTTTATTATTTTGAATCTGTTCACATCAGTGGATCCTTAAACCTAAGCACAAACTTCCTGAGAAATTAGGAGTTAAACTGGATGTTTCGGTATAGCGAGGGTTCTTCTTTTTCTGTACATAACAAATGCCTGATTTTAATACTCTGCAGAAAAATTAAATGGTTTGTTGAAACAGCCAACAGCCAAAGATACGCACATGTCCTGTGACTTACCTCATAACCCCCCAACTTGACAGTGACTGTAACATCCACGGGATGGTTCACCACACCCACTACAGATCTGACCAATGAGATGAAGAGTAGCGGGAACCAGATGATGCAGATGAGGAAGACTATGATGAGCCCGCCCATCCCATACTTCACAATCTTCTTCTTTTTCTGACCTTTGGGCTGGGGGTATTTCTGAGCAAAACAGTCACGAAACACTCATGTCAAACCACCTTAGTTTGCGTTTGCATCTCAGCAGAATATGTTTTCTGGTATAAATGCCAATTCTCAGAGAATACAACTGGAAGAAAACTTTAAAAGTTAAAAGCAAATACTTAAAAAATTATAATAAAATGACTGATGGACGGTCCTAGTAGTTTGCAGCTCCACAGATTTTATCAAGCTCTTTCTTGAATTATTGCACTAAATCTGTCCACACCATATGCTTGCTTAATTGGTTACAAACTTGCACAAAGAGTTGCTAATGTCTGATGTGCATACCTAACCATCATGTTGCCATGTAACCTAAGAATAAAGCAAGATGCTCAATGAGGTGGTTAAAAGCACCCAGAGGTCAAAGAAAGACCCAGCCAGCAGTCAGAAAGCAAGGTGCCCTTTCTGTACCTTCTCGGTTTCACGGCTGCACTTGATGATGAAGATGTTGGCATATATATCCTCTACACACATCCAGTTGGAGAGAGACAGGGTTGTGTCAGTCCAGACCCAGTCCATCACAGCACGCAGCTCCACCAGGAAAGGAACCAGGCGGAACCTGGAATCGCAACACAGGTAATCCTCCCA